AAAACCATGTGATCCCCTCAGGTAATAAATAATGACTGTTCCTTGAAGGAAAGAGGAGAAACTTCTTTCGCTATAAAAAATGCTGAGGCCTGGGTTCTATTTCACAGACAATGACATCAATCTTTACCAGGACCGACGATCACATTACACTGTTACTCCTACGTCATAACCAGTGACTGACTGAAGAATAGCTATTGAAAAACAACTTTAATCTTCTTGGAAAAATTTTTAGCCGGTAAATTCATCTGCCCATGTTCTCTTATCGTTTTGTAAGTTGAAATACACGAAACCTTATCGTCTGGACCAGTTAATTCTAAAAAAGTTCAGTTGAAAGCTATACAGACCACAAAACAGATTCTGTATGTCAACTTTAGTAATCAGACAACTGTCGATTTCTGACGAAAAAAAAAACAGGAAATGAGAACTGAAAAGTTTGCTTCGAAGAACTAGGTCAAAAAATCAAACTGTTTTTCGTTTAGCTAAAGAAAACTGTACGGTTCCATATTTAACTGAAATAATTGAAAAGTGAAAAAAATGAAAAATTTTCCTTGAACCTCTAGATCACCAAATCAAAAGGTTTTCCGTACAGTTGAAGAGACCTGTTCTGAAATTAAAGTAAGAAACCTTAATTAACATTCATGATGCGAGAATTCACGTCAAACTCAAGTAAGGAGATTTAATGAGCAAAATGATCAATCCAGTTTGTTTAAGAAAAGTTTCAGTAAATTTGGTTTATTAATTCCACACGAAATTGTGATCTGAACGCTATAAGGATTTAATTGCCTTTGTTTGGAGAGCAAATTGATGTTCTTTATATCGTACGTGAATGTTCCTTTTGCTGGCGAAAATTAAACGAGAAATTGCTTAAGAAATTTATTGGTGACCATTGGGCGAGAAAGTGTTTCTTATACAATGGTATTTTTTTTTCTCGTGTGATAAATTTAAAAAAAAAAGGAAAGTAAATAGTTCAATGATTTCGCCTTAATTAAAGGTGGTCTGTATAACTTGTTGCATAATCCTTGTTTTCCAATATAGTTTAGTAGGCAAACTATGTTCTCCTTAGAATAATACCTAAGGCAGCCACCGGGTTTTATTATACTATTTATTTAGTTGAAAGGCCTTTTTCAGCCCACAATGAAAGGAACACAGGAAAAGAAGAAAGTTTGAAGTACGAAATCTGAACATTTAAACTCAACGGTGAAAACAGTCGGAAAGATGCACGGAACCAAGAAAGATAACCGATTGTCTAAACTCTTGCCTTAAAAAATAAAAACACAGCTACTTTGGCCCATGTTATCGCAAATATTTAGGAAGTTAGAGGCTAAAAGATCGTCCAAAAACTGAGAAGGCTGAAAAGGGTCTTGCTATAAGCAACATGACAAGCTTCGAGTATTTGTATGTCAGAAGGAAAAAATTGAAATTTGAAGTAAATGATTAACGCCACAATTTGCAATATATATAAACATATTG